ATATAACCGACCGCGGTCAACCGGTTGACCGTCAATAACCGGTAATGACCGACCGTGACCGACCGAACCCATCCCTACCAGTAATTACAGATCAGTATATATTAGATACGTAACTCGTTAGTGATTAACCGATCAGAATTAAGCCGGCTATGCTTCCGAAGTTAAAATATTGTGATACCGCAATGGGATTTGGGATTTGAGGTTTAGCCGGAAATTGGGATTTTGCAATTTGGCTAGAGTTGGGATTATGATAGCCCAATAGGGTTTCTCTAGTTTGGAATTTGGTTCGAATAAGATTTGTAGTTTTGCCACGCATACCCCAACATTGCCGTAGAGATCCGTGTGCCTGCAATACGGATTGAGCGAATTTTTTAAAAAAGATCTTGTTTTGTTCTACCGATACGTACAAACGTCTAATACCAAAAAGATTAGATCTCCAACATAAACGGAACAATGTTAATACCCTAGTAAATTTGCAGGGCTATCCAATTAATAGCATTTAAACCCCCCCGATGCAAGGAAGTTCTTTATTTATTCTCTCATGCACATTTAATTTGGCAGAATTAAATTACCTAAAAGAGCTAAATCTAAGTCACTTGTAAATGGGACTATTTCGAAATTCTCATAACGACATGAATTTACCTTAGAATTTACCTGGATCCGTCCGCAAAATCTTGACTTTTGGTTGGTCCGCGTGACTTATTCGTCAACTTTTTTTATTTTTCACACATGGATTCGTCACGCTATTATTCTTCACATATAATTTCATCACGCCGTATGTATATGTATACTCGTGATACATAGTATGGCGTAGATCAACGAAGGTGCATATATCAGTTATATGATAAAATATTTGCAATTTTTATAAATTTCTGTATTTTGTCACCCTTTACAGTTTCATCACCTTTCATCAGTTTCGTTACCTTTCGTCAGTTTCGTCATTTCATCATTTAAGATTTTAATTGACGAAAGACGAAACTAGGTTTCACGTTTCGTCAGCGCAAAACCTCGAGGTTTCGTCTAACAACTATAGGCCGGAGCCCTTCACAACGTACGTACATAGCTATTAAGTCCATTTATCTAAAATGCTTCTTATATTTTTATCCCAACTTACCATTCTAAACTAAACATAACGGCTCTTCTCATTTTTTATTAACTGCAAACATGTACTTGCATACTTTATCTATAAAGTTCGTTAATGTGTAATTTATGATAATTTGTGTGACAATACTGAATGTCTAATCCGAAATACAGTGCAGTCGGACTTCTCTATAATCACACCTATTGAGATAAAGATTTGTTTATTTATAAAAGATTTTTTATTATGATGTGCATATAAAGAGGTTTTTTTTTATGTTTATATATAATTAGTTTTTTATATGATGTGCTTATAACGAGTATGACCATAGAGGAGTTGATTGTAATATGTATCATTCGGTTCTAGTGTTAGTGACTACTCAATTTTTATTAAATTATATTTTTATTCAGAGTCAATTTTTATTGTTACGTACGTAGAGTGGTATCTTTGTAAATGTTATATGATTCATTTAAGAAATTCGTATTTTGAAACAAAAAAAATGGATTAAATAAATTTAACTTTATTATAATTTTTCATTAGAATAACAGAGGTCATTAAAAAATAAAGAAAAATAATAATCTCATAATTGACATCATTTTTTAAAATTACAAAAAAAAACCATTAATTATATGAGTACATAAAAAATATAAATAAATAAAACAAATCTTATACGTATTATTTTTAAGATGGCAGGAGCTATTAAGAATCGAAGCATGCACAATAAGAAGGGGATGCACAGTTGCTATACGCGCAGTAATTGTAAAAACTGCAATAGTAGCTACAGCAGCTGTAAGTGTCGTATAAGCCTCCATAGTAAAACAGGGCCCGTTTGGAGAGTTTGTGCTCATCAGCATCATCGCATTTAGAAAGTTCATTAATTTCATTTTCAGAAGATTCCCCCCTTTTGTTTTTAAGATCAGCCATCTTGTAAAAGCCACTTGAAGATTCTTGATTAGGATAGGTATCACGCCTGGTGGCATTTTTTTTAAGACTTTTCACATCAATTAAGCCACTATCATTAGCAACTGGAGCAGTCCAGGCTGAAAACGCCATTAAAAGAACAGAAACAAAGATGATGTAAAACTTTAAGGACATTGTTATAAAGTTTATAAAGATTAAATGAGATAGTGGGCAATAGAAAAGACAAGACTCAAGTGTTAATAAAATATGGCGTGAGTAAATTGAAAGGTTAAAGAAGGTGATTTTTATATTTAGAGATCCGGAGTTTTCTTAATTCTTCCGTAATATGTGTTTGTATATAGACAACACAAAGTTACATTTTTAATGAACTTGTTTTCTTTTTTTTATTGTTGTAAAGAGACAATCAATACATAGCGTCGATATTATCAATACAGCCACTTATTAAATGCAATCCCCTTAAATGCAACATGAAACTTTGGCCCAAATGCAGTCAGACCTCCCTAAATTCAACCGCTTAAATGCCACTTTGAACTCTAGCCCAAATATAGTCAGACCTCCCTAAATGCAACCATTTAAATGCACCCAAATGCAATCCCTTTAAATACAACCATAAATTCTGGCCAAATGCAATCAGACTTCCTAAATGCAATCCCTTTAAATACTACATTAAACTCCGTCCCAAATTCAGTCAGATCTCCCTAAATGCAACCGCTTAAATGTAATAATAATCTGAACTCTGGTCAAATGCAGTCAGACCTATAGATGGCTGATATTACTCTTCTTAATAATAAACTTTTGTTGAAATTGTTGATAATTAATTTATATAAATATTAAAAATGTTGAAATTTATTGTTAAAATCAAAAATGAATTTCATCATTTTTAGTCAGACCTCCCTAAATGCAACCTTTAAATGCAATATTAAACTCTAGTCAAATTTCTCCAAAAATGCAATCGCTTAAATGCAACCTTGAACTTTGGCAAATGCAATCAGACCTCCCTAAATGCAACCCCTTTAAATGCAATCTCATACTCTGGTTCAACTTCCATGAATGTAATTTTTCATATTATTCTCTAAATGTAATCTATTAAAAATCTGGTCTCTATTAATTGTATTTAGGTATTTATACAATCAGAACTATACACGAAATTGAACTTATCTAATTTATTTGTCTACCACATACATCACAAATAATCAAATAGCATGTAAATTCGAGCTGTAAATTTTGGATATATTTAGCTTTGATGCTAATAATTATTGGCATTAGTATTAGATTTTATAATGATAATGATTGTAAAAAAGGAATATTATTGTAATTATCCAGAATTTGTGAGTTCACTAATATAACCATGGAAAATTGTGTTTAAATTAAATACCAATTTATTAAGTTGATTATGTGAATTTATAAAATTCTGCCTGTGTAATTTTGTATGTTACCCCAGAAGATACTGCAGTTTCAATGAGCACAAATTCCAGGAATTCCGGGAATTTTTATGATTTCATCAATATTAGGTATTCAAAGAATGGTGGGAATTCAGGAAATTGTAAAATTCATAGAATTGTTAGAACAACTAGAATAATTAAAATTCTTTCACTATACTCAATCATTATATATAAAGAGAAAATAAAGACAGTTAACCATCTTCAAAGTTTAATACTCAAAAGTTCCAAAAAGTGTCTCGCTTTACTAATTCCCCCACATAAGTATATAATCTACTCACCATAACTCGAAGTAGAGCCTCGTGAAGTAATCAAGAGCTCTAAGATCCTAATTACTCAGATCAAATCTATTCGAAGCCTTCTATTATCACTATAAAAAAAATCAAAAAACATATCCCAGATTATCATTCCATTATCTTTCTGGAAAATGCTTATTTTTCAGAACAAAACATATACAAATTCCTGGTCATTTCTATAGAATCCAGGCAAGTTTTGAGTAGGAATCAAATCTGGGCAAGATTTGGCTTCTAATCTTTTATACTTTATTATAATTAGATGCCTAATTTTATCCGGATTTGATTTTTACTCTGAATTTATCAGAATTCTATGAAAATGACCAGGAATTTATACATGGTTTGTTCTGAAAAATGAGCATTTTCCGGAAAGATAATAACTTAGCAGAAACTTGAATCTTTGCCATTTATGATAATCATATGATAGTTATATAACTATTATATGATAAAAATATGATAAAAATATTTTTAATCTGTTAAGTTACTATTAAC